CCCAAGGCCACGCTGCTAGCAAGCGGCAGAGATGGGACTCAAACTCATGTCAGCTTGACTCTAGAACCAAAAGAGTTGCTGTGCACAGAGGAGCGAACTTGGGCCATCTCGTAGAGGACAGGGATTGGGAGGTGATCCAGAGGGTGGGTGACAGGGAAAGCAAACAGAGAGAAAGTTTTGCACGGGACACGTAAGAAGTTTTGTTGACCGGCGCTCATGGCCACCGCTTCAGGCATTGGGATGGTGGGTTTTAAAATTTTAGTCTAAGTTCTCACTTGTAAGAAGAGCTTATAAAATCATCTTAACAATTTTTGTCTGAAGACTTAGGCTTCCCAGTTCAGAGATTTTGTGATATGCACACTGTGGGTGTTTAGACAACAGAGCATCACTCAGAGTGCACAAAAGTTCACTTTCAACCACTAAGCAAGGAGGACCTGGTGCTGCAAAATGAGTTTTTAGATTGCAAATCTCTGCCTCTAAAATTCTGGTTCCCATTTTTGAGGCAGACCACGCCCCCTAGTGGAAAGGGGTGGACTCTGAATTATGATAACAAATGGTTCACGTAGAGGAAGTGCCTCGTTATTAAGGTTTTGTTTATTTCATATTCTAGTAAATTTGCTTGTTTTGTTTTTACATCAACTGATGTGGTGAAAAAGATTCATAGGCTTTGCTGTTTTGTTTTTGGGCACTGTGTAAGGAAGACAGCCACCGGGGGGAGCACAGTGGGGAACCCCGCTGTGGAATTGAGCATTAAGACTGGAGTTGTTTCTGGGTGTGACCCACAGATGTCTTGCATCAGGACCCCCCAGGAAGCCTGTTAAAGCGCAGATCTCTGGGTGTCTCCCACTGCAAAATCAGCCTGTCGCAGCCGGGGCCCAGGGATCTGCATTTGCACAAGATTCCAGCTGATTCCGACGCACATTCAGTTCAAGAGCCCTGGGGCCAAAACAGGCCCACTCTCTGCTGTCTGAACACCACCTGTGTACCGTTTCCCGATATCCCTACCTGCAAGGACACTGCCCGTCCTTCCGGGCCCATCTGTGTGCCACCTCCTCAGTGAGCCACCCCCACCCCTTCCTAAGGCCCTGCCATAATCAAATGAGACATCACCTGTGACAGCACCCTGCACAGCGTGGCCTGGTGCGCAACAGATGCTCGGTCACATTTCCGTCAAGTGGATAGTAGGTGCTCAACAAATGCTTGGTTAAGCGACCTAAAACATTTCACCTGTTCTCAGTGCACCATAGGTGTGAACAGAAATAGACGGCCTGTGTTTACGCCAGAGCTGGCCCCTCAGCTCTGCCACTTGGAGGAGGCTCAGACGAGTAAATGCTGTATTATTTTGTGGGGCTCAGCTTCCTGTCTATCTGCTCAGACGTGGAGAATGCACCCCCTTCATGGGGCTGGGAGAATTCAATGGGGGTGCGTGCCTCAAGTGCCTGACTGCTCAGAGGTGCTTAGCGAGCATTTCCCACCAGAACCGCCACTCCAGCTCTCTGGGCCTCAGTTTCCCCCTCTGTACAATGAGGAGGTGGAAATGAGGTCAAAGGGCTCCATGTTACCACAAGTCCATTGCCTCTTGTGCCTTCTGGTTCCTGGGCGAGGAGGCGGGGAATGCAGCCCAGCCCTTCAGGCCCCGGCCCCGTATCTTGGAGGTTGCTTTCCTCCTATGATGCTCCTGGGCTTTTGGACCCCTCGCAGCTCTACTGTTCATTGTAGGGACACGTTTTTGGCATTGCTGCTTTGCAAGTTTTCCCCACGCTTGCAAACTCTTGGAGTACGATTTTGCACATTTCAAATACCTAATAGTGGTTTCCCCTAGACAGTAGGCGAGCATTCACGTCTCAGCCATGCTTCCAAACAGCCTCTTCTCTCTTGGACATCTGCAGATTTGCTTTTCAGAGTTTATAGTTCTTGTCATCCTTGTTATCCTGTAGAAATGTGGTCAAATGCCACGAGGCTGCACTGTCCCTTGAGCCAGTAACACCAAGCCCCCAGACGTCCCACAGGGGGTGGTCCATAAAGGGGCAGTGCCTGCGGGACCCACAGCCCTGACAGGGAGGCAGAGGGCAAGTTCATGCCCTTTTCATAGACAAGGAAGCAACAGTCACAGAGGGTAGGTGGCTTTTCTGACATTGTACAACTTGGCAGCTTGAAGGTAAAGCAAATACATCATCCTTTTCCTCCCCAGACACTGTGCTGCTATTGAAGAAACCAACCTGTTTAACTCTTGAGAGAAAAAAATCAGGTTCCAAGGAAGCATGCACTGTGTGATCCCATTTTGAAGGGGAAGAAAACTATTTAAGTGCACCTAAAAATCCTCCCCAAAGGTTGCCTGCCAAACTTCTCAGTGATGGCAGTCCCAGTCCATTTTATTTTCTTCTTTGTCCTTTCTCGGTTTTCTTTGACAACCTGTATTATTTTGTAGGAGTCACATTTAGTTTTTTAAGTGAAGCTGTCATGCTTATTTGAAAATACATTACAGCTCCCAATGGAAACGTGGATGAACCTCTAAAACGTGACCTTGAATAAGAGCATGCAGACACAAAAGAGTGTACGCTGTATGACTCCCTTTATAAAATATTCAAACTAAATGGCCACACTAATTCATGGTGATGGGAGTTGGGGTTGATGTTTACTTTCGGGGGGTAATGCCGGGGAGGGGTCCCCTGGGGGTGTCTGAGGCGATGGCCGTGCTTTTTGTTCTTGATCTGGCTGCTGGTTATAGGGGTGTGCTCACCTTACAACAGTTCACCAGGCTACATCATAGACTTTGGGGGGTTCATTTTGATGTTTTAAAATATTGCATTACAAAAGTATTTATCTGGATTACTAAATATTTTGGCTCCCCCTGAGGTTTTTTGCCCGAGCGAGCACCTCACTCAGCTCACCCTAATCACGGCCCTGCAGGAATGGGAGGAATTATCGAGGCCAAGTTATCCAACCATCCGCCCCACTGGGCCACATCTGCCAACTCAGGAAAACCCTTTACACCAGGGACTAGCCTGGAAAACATACGCCACTCCAGGGATTTCAAACAGGATCAGTGTGATACAGAGGACTGGGTCCCAGATGGAGAAAGACTGGAGAGGCCAAACAGGGGAGAATGCAGCAACTCAGAGACTGGCAGTGAAGGACGTCCCCACCGCCCCAGGGGCTGGAGGGGCCCAGGACAAGGTGGTGGAATCAGAACCAGAAGTGGGGCCCCAGGTGGGCACCAGAACCATGGCAGGAGGCTGCCGAGTATGCAAGCTGGAGCCCTGGAGGAGATGCGGCCACTGCGGGAAGATGCCTCCCCGCCCAGGGCGCGAGAACTACCCAGGCTGCTCCTGTTCTCTCATCTGCCAAGCTCTTCCTACTTCCCTGGGACTGGATCTGGCCAGAGCAAGCTGGTGAGCAGCCTGGGAAACAGGGCTTGCAGGTGGGGAGGACCTGCCAACAGGCTCCCAACGCCCAGTTCCTCTGCTTCTCCCTCCGGTCACACTGCACAGGACATCAGGAATCTTTGCTGGGGTGGGGGTTCCCCCAGCCTGCGTCTGACTCTAAGGTGATCATTAGACTAAACTCACCCACCTCATTATCTGCAGGGCACCATCCACTCTCCATCACTTTTCCAAAGACAATGGAAACACACTGTGGTGGACACACCCTAAGCTGGCCCCTTGTTTAATCCTCTCCCCTTGGGTGTGGGTGGAACATGTGACTTACTTCTGGCCCAGAAAGCAGGGCAAAGGGTACAGGCTGTCACACCCATGATTACATTACCTGATACAACATGCTGTCTTAGCAGACTAGAGGGAGAGATTCTCCTGCTGGCCTTGAAGAAGCAAACAGCCATGTTTTGAAATGTCTGTAGAGAAAGCTACGGTGGCAGGGAACTGCAGGGGGCCACTAGGACCTGGGCAGCTTTATCCCAAGTACCAGTAGCAGTCAGGCCCTCAGTCATACAGCTGCAAGAAAATGAATCTGCCAACAACCCAAATGAACTTGGACGTGGTCTCTCCCTGGTCATGTCTTCAGATGAGGACACAGCCTGGCTGCCACTAAATTGCAGTCTTTATGAGACTCTGAGCATAGGACCGAATGAAGCTATACCTAGATTCCTCAACCATGCAAACTGTGAAATATTAGCCCTTTGCACTCGGATGTCGAGTGTGGATAATGTCGAGTGGATAATGAGAAAAAAGAAAGTGAGTGCAAAGGGTTAAATAAATGTTAAGGCACTAACTTTGCATTTTTTTTTTTACACTGCAATAGAAAACTAATACACAAAGTGGGAAGAAAGGCTCTCTACCTCACTTTTTTTCAACCCACAGAGTTCCATTTAAAAAGGTGGTATGGACCGGGCATGGTGGCTCACGCCTGTAATCACAGCACTTTGGAAGGCTGAGGTGGGAGGATTGCTTGAGGTTAGGAGTTCAAGATAAGCCTGTGGAACATAGCAAGACCCGATGTCTACAAAAAATAGAAACATTGGCTGGGCATGGTGGCACCTGTAGTCCCAGCTACTTGGGGAGCTGAGGCAGGAGGATCGCTTGAGCCCAGGAGTGTGAGGTTGCAGTGAGCTATGATGATGCCACTGCACTCTAGCCCCAACAGAGTGAGACCCTGTCTCAAAAATTACAATAAAATAAAATAAAAATGTGGAATGATAAATAAGGTTCACTCTGAACCTTATAATTGCTTCCTTCCCTTCCAACCTCTTGTTCTGTCTGAGCCCTAACTTCCAGGGCCCATGGGCAGGTATGTTGCTCTAAGTAGCAGACAAAGTTTCGTCCTAAGAGAAGTCCTTGGTGCTCCCAGTGGGAGTCTGTTGTCACTGCTGGTGTTCCCACCAGCACCTGGGGAGGGCAGAAGGTTAGGGCTGGACGCAGGGTGCTGTGGGGTCCGCGATGACAAATAGACTCGGCTCTGGCACTTTTCTCTCTCAAATGGTACAAATGTGGGCAAAAGTTCGAATGAGACCGTCACTATCTAGGAAGGTCAGCTGAATACTTGAGTGCTCCCTTTCATGTTATTTTATTTTCTTTCATGCAGACCGGTGGGGAGATAATCCCATAGATTCTTCTGGAAACTGTCAAGATACTGGGAAGATGAAAGCAAAACTTGCATATATTGGGATGCCCACAGTTTGGATTTTCAAGATCTGAAATATGAAACAAAACAAAGCAAATGGGACTTTTAGCATAAGAACTGCCCTCTAGAGGGGGAAGAGAAAGGCCTGGCAGTTCTCAGCTCTGGCTGCATGTCAGAATCACCTGCAGACAATATTTAAAATAAAACTTAAAAACAGGTATAACTAAAATACAATAAAGTGCACAAAGCTTGAGAGTCCAGCTTGCAGGATCTTCACAAAGCGAGAGCTCCTTGTGTCACCATCCCTCTGCTCAAGATAAAGGATATTTCCAGCCTGGCAGAAATCTCCTTCATGTTCCCTCTTGGTTCATATCCCAGTCCCTCCACAAAGGAAATTGCTATTCTGATTTCCAACATCATAAAAAATAACCTGAGAAGCTTTTAAAATACTGATACTCAGGCCTGACCCACAGAGTATCTGGTCTGGCGATCTGGGGGTGCTTTGGCCTGGGGAGCCGTGAGGCCCCCCATGGTTCTGACGTGCAGTCAGGACTGGGAGCTACTCGCTGGCTTATGGCAAAGTCCCACTCCCTGCAGGACGGCAAGGGACGCCCCCAGGCCTCCTTGAATTCACAGCCTAAAGAGTTCCTCCTCGGCTTTCTGGAAACGTCTAGGTTGTGGCTGTCGAAGCCAGGCCAGGCACCGAATCACCTGGATGCCAGCACTGCCCACTGAGGTCGGCGGGCCCAGTCCTCCCATGGGCAGGGGCGAGGCAAGCGGGTCCGGGCTGTGGGTTTCAGGGGAAGTGATGGGTTGTGCACAAGCACCAGTGGAGGTGGTGCAAATACTGAGCCCCCCTGTGTCTGCCCACCCTCCTGATACCCTCGGAACTTGCAAAATGCATCTGGTGTGAGCCAAGTCAGGCAGTCGGATGTGGGTTATAGTTATCAGCATCCCTGCTTTTCATTCCAGAACGTTTCTCTTTAGCATTATTTGAAGTTGTGATAATCCTTGAGAAGCTAAGCGAGCTTCCCCGGTGAACTCTAGTGTAGAGCACTGAAGATTAGAAACCAGCGATCCCCAAAAGGGATGGTGGGGGGAGAAAGAGCAAAAAAGGAAATAAACAGAAAGAGAAAAGAGAAGCAAAGACCAACACTTGCGTGGCTCTTGCAGGACGACTTGGTGAACCCAAACTTCTGCCTGATCTCGTTTGTCCTGAACTCCTGCCACTTGCCGTCCACCAGGGTCTGAGCTCTGATCTCGTACCTCACCAAGCGCTCTGCTAGCAGGCTCACGGGGCTGTTCTCGCAGCCCACGTCGGGCAATTCCAGGTCCGTGTGCCTCATTCTCTGCAGAGAGAGTGACCATCTCAGGGGGGACGGTGACAGAGGTGGCCCAGGGTTAGCAAAATCCAGTTCCTAGTACATAGACCCTCCTGTATAATGTTTGCAGGGAGCAAGAGGGTGTTTCTGAAATGGCTCCGTTTCCTGAGAGCCACCGCTGCTGAGCCAGCTGGCGTTTGAGCTCTCACCCTACATAGACCACTGGCCAAGGGAATGGGCTGTGGCCAACCCCGAAAAACACCATTAAGTCAAGCTTCAATATCACTTTGCCAGAATAAAAAACATAGTACTCATATGGGCATTCAGACGGGGGTTGTCACCTAATTCATCTCTTCCATCCAGAAAAATCCATTGTGTAGGGAGATGCCTGACTCACAGGAGACCAAGAGCTGAGGCCCAAGGAGGGGAAATGACTTGATCAAGGGCACAAGGTAGCGGCAAAGATGAGACCCAAACTCAGGAGTCTTCATTCATGCATTCATCCGTTAATCCATTCATTCAGTCAGTCCCTATGTCCCAGGTACTGTGATTGGCAGTAGTAATGAGAACATTAATAAGATACAGTTTCTCCAATGCTTGCAGTTTAGAGAAAAGACACTTATAAACAAATCCTAAGGAGAGCATAGCAGTCCTTCATCGTAGTTGTCATTGTCATCATCCTCATCATCGCTAATGCATACAGTGCTTTACGTGTCAGGCCCTTTGCACAAACTAACACATTTAGTATGCGCAACCACCCAGGGAGGTATGTCCTGTTACCTGCTCCATCTTAAAGGTGAGGAAACTGGACAGAGGGAGGTTCATGGGACATGCCAAGGTCATACGGCTCGCCAGGCCATTAGACTGCAGATTCCCTGCTCCTAAACGTGCCGTTCTCTTACCTCTCCTAAAAGTCCAGCAGGAGCATGGAGGGGAAGCTGGGCATCCTCCTGACCCCCCTGGGGTCAGGCCCATGGCTCTGTTTTGTCTCGCTAAACAAGACCATCTCCTCTCCCACCTAACGGCACTGTTACCTTCACGGAAGAATGACCGTCTACGTACAGCATCACCCATCATGTCTGAAATGAAGATGAGCTGAGCACCCCACGTGTGGAGAGAGAAGACTAGAGTTTAACCCTGGCTTTACCAATAGAGGCTACGTGAAGATGAAGATACTCAGTTTTGAAATCTTCATCTGTTAAGTGGGCTAAGAGTACCCACCTTCTGAGGTTGTTACAAAAATCAAATGGCATCATGTAGCTAAGCTTAATTAGCACCTGCAATATGGTTCATATTAATTGTTAATTAATGACTGATCAATTATAAATGCAATATGAATTTATTCTGAATCTAAAAGCCTGTTTCAGAGACATATCTCTCCACTTGGTCTGTCCTTCTTACCTGCATGTAAAAACTGTAAGAGGTACTATCATGTTTGATTCCCTTTATCTCAAAGAAGAATCCATAAATGGCAATCGTTTCTGAATGAGTTGTGTGCTCCTAAATTGGGAAAGAGAAACAACAAAGTGAAGGGAGAAAAAATCTTTAGTATTCAAGGTCAAGCAGACATAGTGAAATAAATCATAGCAACAACAACAGAAGTCACTCATTTGGAGGCTGATTTAAAAGGGAAACTATAGCAGCAATAGTAGCCTAGGAGGCATAGGAAAAGCCGAACTGCAGTGACTCCACAAATGCTTAGCAGTAATAACTGCTGCGCACAGTTAGTACAGTCAGCAGAAGCTTCTAGTAGAATTGGCAGTAGTTACTGAGCAGTGACAATATTATTTACTCTGCATGTTCTTTAGTGAGGAAAAGAATGGGTTAGGTATATTCTTAGATGACCTGTGGTCTGCAAACCTTTGAAACAAAGCATTTTGTTCCAATCTAATGGGCCAAATAGATACTTTATACTCATGGTACTTGCAGAAGCCCTGGCCCCTGTGTCTACATTTGCCTATCTGGGCACGTCTCTGCAACCAAGGAGCTGGGCCAGCCCACCCAGGCCTGACCCAGAGGGATCTCTGATGATAGGTTCAGGCCCTGAGTCCCTGATACATGAACTCTTTTGAGATCTCTACTGGTGTGCCTTTAAAGAGTCAACAGGGAGTAGTGGTTTCTTGGAGAATTGTGCCTATCCCAGGGAACCCACGACAGAGCACAGCCACCAACCCCAGACATGCCTCTGATGACTGGGCACCAAGATGTCTTGCAATCAAGCTCCTTCACCCATCATGATTTGATTCTGGTATCCATTAAAATATTGATAGCTGCCCAGAATGGTTCACCCCTGCAACCTTAAACATGGACTCGGCAAGGAGTCTCTTGTTGAGCCAGTTGGTGGCTGTTGATGTTTGTGAGGAATGGGATGACCACCCACCCCAGGCTGCATAGGCCTTCCCTGGTTTTAGAGCCAATAGTCCTGCGTCCCAGGGAAACTCCTCCATGCCGGGAAAACCAGGACAGTTGGCCACCTCAGTGGGGAAATTTGGGACGCACATCGGATTACTGAACAGCCGGTCCCAGGCCCCTTCTTGTGGATTCTGTTTGCTAGGAGCTGGCAAGCATGCGGGTGAGACTCCCACGACGCCCTCTTCCCCCCTGACCTTCCCACTAGAGGTCAGAAAGTGGGCACAGGCCACCCTACAGAGGCTCTTAACCAAGCACAAGAGGGACGGCTCTTCCCATGGTTCAGGTCCAGTGTTTGGTACCTGCGTGAAGAGCAGCCCGAATCTCACGGCATGGGTGTTAAGATCTTTCAGGTGGACCATGTCACCCCCATTCTCCAGCTGCAAGGAAAACGAACACAGTTCACCGGCAGCCTGATCCACTGGCCTCTCATCGTCTTCGCGGCCGTCCCTTGATCCCCACGCCTCCCACACTGCTCGAAAGAGAATTCTGCCTCTAGACGACATGCAGCCGTTCATGCGGTTCACAGGTGTTCACCAAAAACCTGTTCTGTGCCAGGTACTATGCTCAGAGCTTTCAGAGGATGCCAAGGGGAGAAAAAGAAAAGTACCCGAGCAGTCTTACTTGGGAAAGAAAATGTGTACGGAGTGGCCCCATCCTGAGGCAGAGATGACCATGGTCACAAAGTCAAGAGCCAGTAAGGTCCCTGCACGGCAGGCCCCAAGGTGAGGGCGGGGGAGGGGAGGGAGCAGATTTTGGGAGAATGGCAGCAGGGGGAAGAAGAAGGAGGTGGGCAGGGTCAGAGGGCCAAGAGGGAGGTAGGGGGCTTCCTGAGGTGTCAGCACAGACACTGTCCCCTCTCTCTGTCACCCTTCCGCCACTCTGTTAGAGCACAGTTCTGAGGGATGACCCAGAGCAGCGGCTTCCGTGGGGTCATTTTCTACTGGGTGGGGAGCGCTGAGGCTGTGGTTTGCTCATTACAATAGGTATTTGTTGAGCTGGACTGAATTTTAACCAGTGACTCATACATCTTCAGAACTCATACACTGCCCCACTTCATCTCCAAAAATGCAAGATTGGAAACACAGAAAAAAGTATAACAGTTTGCACAGAGAATTCACAAAGGGGGAAATAGTGCATGGAAAACTACTCGTGGTTAATGAGAATAAAGGAAATGCATATTAAAAAATGAGATGTCATTGTTTCCTTCTCAATTAACAAAAGTGATTTGAAATTTAAATGCTCTCCATTGCTGAGGGTGTGCAAAGTGAGGCATGCTCATTTATTACTGGGGGAAGAGTACTTTGGTCCCAGTACATATCAAGAACAAAAATGCACATTCCTTTTTGTGCCAGCATTTCTACTCTTGAGAATATCCTATTAAAAAATAACTCAAAGTATAATAAAATGAACCATTAGGTGCAAATACGTTCACCATACTGTCATTTATAATATTAATAGTAAACAATTAGAAATACTATGCATTTTCTACAGTAAAAGAATGACAAACTAGCATCCTATTGGTGGAGGAGTTTGAAGCCATTAAAAATGGTGTTAGGAAGCACATTTAATTGAGTGTGTTATGTTTACAATATATGTAAAGATTGGAAGGCAGTAAATGTGAGATGTTAACAGTGGTTGCATTTGGGTGATGGGTATGAGGGTATTTCTTTTCTTTCTTTCAATTTCTCTGCATTTTGAAAATTTTCAATAGTAAGCACATGTTACATTTGGGTCTTTCAAGGGACTTGGTTTGGGGGCCTTTGTGACTGGTGCTGTTGTACCCCAGCGAACCCTCCAGATCAACGCGGCAGATGCTCAAAGCACTCCAATTCCAAGGCTGGGTCTCCTCCCTCCTTCCCCAGGACCCAGATATGTCCTGACCTCAAAAGCCCAGAGGTTTCCAACGTGAAACCTCTCCAGCAAAGGCAAAGTCCCAGAGGCAATACATTTTGATAATTGTTTCCTTGCTGAGCTGGTGACTTACTGCATGGTAGTGGTTGGCTGCAACCCGGATCAGCCATGACTCCGGGAAAAAGTTCATGTGCCTTAACTGCTCCAGATCCTTGCCTTGGAAGTAACACAGAGGGAACATTTTTACATTTATTAATTCATAACGGAACTTCTAAAATCTCATTTACAGCAAGAAAACAGAAGTCAAATGCTGAGGGAAGGGAAAAAGGCGAGTGGTCTCATTTAGGGCTTGGTTGATAAAATGGGAATGAAACATCTCAGATTCACTGTGGTTGTGTTCACAGTCAATTACTTTTGTCCTCCAAATTAACTCTTTTTTAAAAAACGTATACGAATAAACTTCCAAAGTTATGAATGAATTCACTCCAAATTGGATGGCCATTTCAACCTCAATAGGAAATTTTCTGTACTACATATTAATGTTTTAATATAAATTTAGCTTATATTATTCTGAGTGAAATGTATTCCCCACAATCCTGTAAGCAGATATCACTGTCCGTGAACTTTGGAGGGTACCTTGGGAACTATCGTTGAAGGAGAATTGAAGGAGAAGCCATCAGTGGCCCTCAAAGTTCAGCTTAAACCAATCAACCACACTCTTCAAAGATATTTTGGTTCTTACAATACTACCCAAAAAAAAATCACAAAGAAAAAAGGAAGAAGATATTTAAGCTTCACATTGGTCCAATTAAAAGTTGTTTCTGTTTTTATTATTTTTTTCCCATACTGTTTTCTAGGTCACCCTTCCCAGGCCCCTGGGCATCTGTAAGTTATGCATAAGTAACTTCCTCCCCCAAGCCAGGTGTTCCCAGTCCCCTGGCAGAAATCTTGCCTGGAAAGGGAGGTTTGAGAGCAGTGCTTTTGGACTGTCTAGAAGCAACTTGGACAGAACTACCCGAGTTCTCGAGCTACTGTATATCTGGATAGCTGGAATGGCTTTGAGAAAGTTCTCAGAGATCCCTTTAGATGCAAAGATCACATGGAGGGGGGAGCCTCCTGGACTGCCCACTATTTCTCTCCTATTTCCAAGGGACAGTCGCCCAGAGCACGAGGTTGAGGGGCACAAGCCTAAGTTTGGGACACAGACCCAGAGTTTTCTTCCAAACTGCCAAGCAAGAGGCCTAGGAGTGAGTTCCGGGCTGAGAGGCGGGGCACACATCGGATGCCAATAGAACTGCCGTTGGCAGCGTGTGCTGCTCCACAATACACAGCCCCTTCTCCTCATTGTCCTGACTCATGGAATCTCTGCTCTCCCTCATTCTACAGACAAGGAAACTAAGACCCGGCAGTTAGATGCCTTCCCCAAAGCCACACAGCTTGGAAGCCGACAATACCAGATCTCAGCTGATTCCTTTAGAAGCATCCGGTGGGGCTGTCCCCGTGGTGGCTGAGGGGTGGGGCAAACCCCAGCTGCTCTCTGGGGGAGGCGCGCACAGGGCCGGGACTCACCTCTGGTGATGCCGTGCAGATGCAAGCACAGGAAGAGCGGCATCAGTCTCTGTCCCACATCCTGGTCCAGAAAGCAACAGTTCTTGGAAAAGCTTAGCAGGGGCACAAAGAAAAATAAAAGGCCTTCAGAAAGCTCCTGTCTGGAATCAGCCTGGGCTGGTGAAAGCCACGCCATAGACACCAGTGGCTTCCCCAGCCGCGGGGAGATGAACTCGGGTTCTCTCTGATGAGGGGATGCGTGGAAGCAGGGGTGGCGTCGATGCCCTTTGCAAAGTCTAACCCCGGAGACTGTACTGGGGACAAGTGGTTACGTCCCTTCAGCGTCTACCCATGAGCTGTGCATACAGTAGGTGCCCAACAGATGTGTGTTAAGTGAGATGGTAATACACGTTACTTTAGAGGACGTCAGTGTGCGTTTTCTCACTTGCGTCCCACAGACCCCCCGTGGGACAGACAGAGCAAGTGTGGCCAGCGTCAGATTTTACAGATGGGAAACAGAGGCTCAGCCAGGCACGAACCCTTGCAGGAAGTGCCCGTACTAGACGCTTCAGACGTGCTTTCTGCTGGAATTAAAAAGAAGAAAAGAGCAGATGTGGGGGTAACTGTTTTCAGCAGCTGGTTTCACCATCAGTTCTGCTGCACTCAGTGTTCATGCTAAACTCCAGTTAATACCCCCCCGGGACTGGAGGTCGGGCTGGCTTGGGAAGATGAGGTTTTCCTTGAGGAGACACTCGTGCACAGGCAGAGAGGCACCCCTGCCCTTGTTTAGAAATAATTTTCACAAATGAGGACGATGGGGATGGTTTTTCCAAGTCTCTTTGAAAATGCAGAGTCACTCCAGCCAAGCGTGCTTTTAGATTATTTTTCCGTGAATCGAGAGTGATGTCTAAGTCACGCCCTGTCCCAGTTGGACCGGTGCACCATTGGCCCTGTGTCCCGCCTCCGTCGGAGGTGCCCACCAGCCTTCCCGGAACCACTTGTTTTCATAAGATCTGGGAATTCCTGGGGCTGCCCGACCCCTCTCCACGGCAGTGGTCCCCAGGTCTAGGGGCGCTGAGGCAGGTGCAAAGGCAAACGGGTCTGATCCAGTGCAAGGATAATTTATGGGCACCTGCCACGTGTGTGTCTCTGGAGCTGGACAGAGCAGGCATCCGTAAAGCCCGGTCAATACTCCAGGAGTGCAGGGCTATTGATCCAGAACCGGCCCTCCATTACCCAGGGAAAGTGGGGCCAGGGCTAGTCGGTGCTGTGCGGGGCCCTAGGGACACAGACGTCTTAGTGGGACAAGCAGCCCTCAATTGCTTCCTTTCCTTGGGCTGGTCTGGCTGTCCCTCCCTCTCAGCCTCTCCTTCACCATTTAACAGAAGAACAGCTGAGGTGGCATCACGCTGGGCAGCAGGTGTCGATGGGGCATAAGGGGCCAAGCTGATGCCATCCTGTCCTCCCCAGCCTAGCCTGGTGCCCCGGGAATGAGCCAGCACCTGTGATAAGGGCCCCTATGGCCTGGTGCTGCCCCTGAGCAGTAAGCACCTGCTGAAGCTGCCGCTTAAATACAGCTAGATTCAGCCAAAGGGAAAGGCCAGGCCTAGAGGCCAGGCCCTCCGCACAGAAGCCATGAGGCACTGCTTCAGTCTGCTTGGAGAGCGAATGCTCCTGGTAGTGAGAGGAGCCACGCCCTGAGTGGCCCTCTGAGAGGCACTCAGGCCCGAAGGCCAAGGTTGTCTCTGGACAACCCTCCTCCCCCAGAGGACTTGGAAACGACTTTGTTGGGACAGGTGCTAGGAAGTGGCAATGACGCCCACTACTGGGGCTCACTCAGAGAGGCCACGGGTCGGCTCATTGCCCAACCACACTGGGCCTGGGGGCAGACGGACCAGGGTCCAGTCTTGGCCCAGCCAGCCACCGGTCAGGTGGCCGGGCCTCTCTGAGCATCACTCTCCTTCTCCTCCAAGTGGGAGCAGTAGCGACAGGTGCCTCCTAAGGGACATGGGAAGGGCAGGGTGGCAGTGCTTGGAGGCACGTGGCACGGCCGCTGGGCCCAACAAGCCCTCAATGCCTCATGAGAACCACTGTTGACCTCCCGTCCCAGGAAAAGTGACCAGGACTCAAGTGGGCCAAGTGCAGGGAATTGTTCTTAGTGGCATTCATCGTCACTGCCACCCCTAAATCGCCCAAGCCATGGGCCACATCAAAGAAAGAAAATGGTGTCTTTAGCTTCCGATTTTCTAAAATCTCAAAGGATCTGAGGGGTGGGGTGGGTTGCCTGGATCCAGTTGTGTAACCTGCTCCTAGAGCCTCGCGGGTCCCTTGTCACGGCACCGGCATTCTACATGCCTCCCAGGCCCAGCACCTCTTCCATGTCACTCTGCCCCCTCGCTGTCTGGTGTGGCAGCATCCGATACCCTCTGGCCAAGGGCGAGTGCACTCGCCTGATGTCACGTGACCTTGGAGCAAGCAGGCTGCAACGTCTAGGGACGTCTCTGCATGGCTGTGCCAGCGGGGTCCAAGACGGGTGTGGCTTCCACGGTGCTGGGCTCTGTCCGCGCAAAGGCTTCTCTGAGTTTAGCACGACCTCTCTGGGACCACTTCAGGCCGTGGTCTCTGCCTTCTAAAGTTCCTTGAGAAACCCTGGGGCATGACCCCTTTAAGCAAGACAGTGACAGGTCCTTGAGGCTGAAGGACACACCCAGGTTGGCTCTGGGCCATGCCACAATCACCCTGCGGCCTCCGGAAAGACAGTGCCTGCAAACAAGTCGCCCTCTGACTGGTGCGGGTGGTAACGTTAGAGACCCCGTGAGCCACAGCTTTCTCACTTCCTCCGCCTTGTCACCTGCTGGAGTCCTTTGCCCTTCCTGCCAGTGTAAGAGCCGCAGACCTGACAGCTCCAGCGTCAGTCCTGGCACGCAGGTGCTGCTGCCTCCCGCCTGGTGGTCAGGGGCTGGCCCGAGGTCTACAGGCAGCAAATGGCAGGAGGGGGGCTCGGACAACAGGCTGACCCCTCCCGACACACACCTAACTCGTTGTCTGTCTCTGCTTCCTAGATTGCAAGCTCCGTGGAGACGGGGATTTATGTCTGCTTTGTTTTCTGTTGCGTCCTCACCGCCTCTTACAGCGCCTGGCACTCAGCTCACAAAGTGTTAGGTGATTGAATTGCATGAATGATCTGGTCCCTGCCGACTCTCTAGCTGCAATCCCGCCATCCCGCCCCTCCATTCACCCACAGTTTATCTTCTAGGAATGCCAGTAGGGCCAGCCCTAGTGCGCGTGCTCATACACACTTGCGTGCACACACCGGCTATTCCATGCCCACGCCCCTATGCCCACGTGGTCCTGTCTGCTGTTGTCGTGACCATTTGTCAGGCCAAGTTCCTCTCAGCCATTCGTCGAGACCTAGTTCAATGTCATTCACTGTCAAGATGGCCCTGGCCCTCGCCCAAAAGCAAAACTGGAAAGGCTTTATGGGGACCCTGTGTAACAATAGCCACGGCCGCCCCTTTTAAGGACCTGCTACATCCAGATTCTGAGCTCCTTCCGTTTCTCTGTGCTCATATTGAAGGTGTGCTTGGTGCTTCTCAGTATGTCTGGAAAGCCAAGAAACAATGTGGCGGAAGTGGAAAGTTAGTAAGAACTGGGAATAATCTTTAAGGACCCAAGAACAAGGGAGATTCAGGTTCCAGGGAGCCAAGTGGGAGGGAGCAGAGGCAGCACTTGTCAGAGCAAGAGAAGGCAGGGACAAGGTGAGAAGCGTGAACATCAGGTAATGGGAACTCCTCTGGTCCCACAACATACCAACCTCCCTGCACGTGGCTTGGCAAGGACAATTCAATGGCCCTAATGTCCGTGACGCATGGGACATTTCAAAATGAATATTCTGGTAAAGAGATCTGTGCTCTCGCACCAGGGGCGCCCAGGTTCTTACAAACTCCGCGGCTACATCTGCAAATGCCATTCATGAATCACAAGAGGCACGTGGCCTCCGCCCACCGTAGGGACGCAGCATCATAGAGCATTCCCCTCAAGAAGCCAGTGGGCTCAGGGCACCTGGGGTGCAGGAAACGGCTGGGCGGCTCTCCCGGGAGGGGGTTCCCTGCAGTGGCTCCCCTGGGTTGTGGTGTGTGGGGAACGGTGCCATTAGATTTGTCAGGCCAGCGCACACCCACACGGCCAGCACAGTTCTTGTTCCCTCTGCAGAGACGCTCAGAGAAAGAATCTGTCCAGTGTGCACGTGAGATCGAGGAAGGCTTCCTGGAGGTGTCCTCGGCCAGCCCCATGAAGGCTGGCTCAGATTGAGGCAGGGCCCGGGAAAAAGGAGACTCAGCTGGAGACATCACCACAGAAGATAAAAGAATAATCAGTGAGCATATGAAAAGGTGTCTAACATCAGTAGTCACTGGGGAAATACAAGTTAAAAATCACAAGATACCATTATGTGTGCATTAAATTGGCAAAAACCTAAAAGAAATGGAAGCATGTCTCTGCCCTTCTGACAAACTTATACATGAATGCTTATAGTAGCTTTATTTATAATAGCACCAAACTAAAACCAACCCAAATGTCTATCAAAAGCTGAACTGAAAAACAAATTTTGGTGATCCATAAATGGAAAATTGCTCAGCAATAAACCAAAGACCTATGGGGACATGCAACAACATGGATGAATCTCAAAATGCTTATGCTGAATGGGAGAATCCAGACAAAAGGAGGAGTACATACTCCATGCTTCCATTCATACAATATTCTACAGATACAGTCAGGTGCCACATGACAACGTTTCGGTCAACAAGGGTCCACATACGTTATGGTGGTCCCAAAAATTATAATGGAGCTGAAAAATTCCTATCTCCTAGTGGTGTCATAACACAATGCATTAGTTATGTGTGTATGCCGGTGTAAACAAACCTACCACACTGCCAGTTGTATAAAAGTATAGCATATACAATTCCATACAGTACATAATACTCCATTATGATAACAAACAAAAAATTATGAAAACAAATAAACATAAACAAACTTTATGTACTTACTATATTTTATATCATTCTTTTAGAGTGCACTCGTTCTACTTTTTTTTTTTAAACAAAAGGTTAACTGT